GGCGTGGCCTGTGGGCGTGGCTCAGGACAGTCTCATCTCTGCGGAGCGGCTGTTTGTTTTCCGCTGTGTTCCTCCTGCCGCCCAGCAGCACACGCAAACATCTCGCTCACGCAAGAAGAAACGCAACTTCCTGAACTTCAAGAAGAGCAGTGTGGCTCCCCAGCCAAACATGTGACACTACATTGCAAAGCATCATGGGAATGTAATTATGAGTCTTGTGTATCTATTGTTCTTTTATCATGGGCGGGTCTGCCGAGAGCTGATTGGTTGGGTGTGTTCAGCCGTCCAATGACGTCATCCAGATGTGTTTGTTCTTCTGTCAGATGATCGACTGATGCAAAAACAAAAAGACCTTTGACCTGCAGCTTCATGTTTACACTCCTTTTTAATAATCAACCTTTTTATTTTAATCAGCCATGATAATTATAATAAAAAGGGACATGAAATCAATTAAAACTGTTTTATTTCTGAGACTTGGATTCGTCCTCTGCTGTTAGACTTCGTGTTTTATATGAACTACACAAACCTCAGGATCAGCCTCTGTGAAGAGATCATTTATTTAAAAGGTTTGAGAAATATCGTTTGAGCTCGTTTATTTGCAGCTGGTTCGTCAGAAACCGAACGCTGCTGCTGCTGCTTTATCCTGACAGACAGAGATTTGCACTGCTATGATTGTGTTCACATTTATTTAACAAAGATTACATCAGTAACAAACTGATCAATACTTTAAATCAGACAACCGTGGGGAACGTCTGACGTACTTCTCTCTGTAGAAGGCGATGACATCTTCTGCCAGCGAGTCTAAACTGCTCTGCATGTGCGTCGGCTGAGAAACAGACAGATTTCATACTTCAAACTGATGTTTTAATAATAAGACCATCAAGGTAACGTCATCTTAAAATACTGAAAATAATCATTCACTCGCCCTCGCGCCTCTCTGCCTTTCTTTCTCCGGTCTGATGATGATCTGTGATTTAAATCATTATTCACTGATCATGTTCTGTGTTCTGTGACCGGCTCCAGATGAATAATTGAACATGATTATAATGCAGGGTTTCTGCGGATCTAAACTCACA